TCAAATTGGTTCTAACTCCTTGTCAAGCCACTGTGCTGGTCTGTGTTGAGGGAAGTTAGACATAGACATAGTTGCTCGTAAAAGTATGTTTTTTTACGCGTTTTTGGTAATCCATATTGTCTGGGAATATGTGTACCTCTCAGTTTTAGGGATAACACGGTTTAGATATCAGTCATACTTGTCCAGTAAATAGTTTACTACTTTCCAGACAGTCTTCCAATATCATGGCTTTATCTTTCCCAGACGTTTCTAGACGAAATTTACCCGATCATTTAAAGTGGATTCTATTTTGGCGTATTGTCCCTCCGACAAAGAGGGACAAACCCATATCAGGCTTAGAAATTATTATTTGTACGCGACTTTTCGGTGCTGATAGGGCAGCCATGTGTTCCTTAGTTATCGATATCGGTTGTTTTATTAAAGCTCTGCAATACTGATGAGAAATGTTTACAAATTTTGCTTTCAGTTAGCCCCGTTAGTGGATCTGGGTATTAGGTCAGGTAGTCGAGAATTTAAGTCCTTTAATTTGACCTTAATTTCACCTTGTTTTTTTTCTTTCAGACACAAAAGTCAATTCCTAGTAGTAAAACCTCTGACTTCACTTTACTATTTTCATGTCAGATATATTGATAATAATTTCAGCTGCTTTCAGCGGAAACATATCGTCCGTAGGTTTCTGCGTACTGATTTCTTTGATTTGAAGCGGAATGACTTTCCAGTCTTCTTTTGTATTATGCACGCTTTTTTTCATGAACGTTAACCAACAAAAGAAACTTGTCTTTTCGAGAATATGTCTCGTCTGGTGCATATCCTTGACCTCAACCGACGGAGCGTAGACCGGGCGACCCAGCAAGCTCAGCGACTCACTTGGTCCGAGTTCAGATCTCCGATGCACTAGCACCTCGGTTCGGCTAAGATGTCCCTGACCGATGATAACTTATGAGTCAGAAATAGCCACTTTAGTGCCTAGTCTTTTCCGACAACAATCGCTCAAAGCAGTCTCCGGTTTTTCCTTTCAGTGACGACTCAGCCTCTGGGACTTCCCCTTGGATGGGCGAACGCATTGGAGTAAACCTCGACTGTCTGGATGAGACAGACGGCTTTGGTTCTGACAGTCTACAAACTCTTTTATCTCAATTTCGAGCCGAATTCGCCAATCGTTTGTCATGCTCCCCTGACGATTCCATCACTCCTGCTCAACTTCTCGCCAACTTCGTTTTCCAAGTGTCAAGTTCTCCTGCCCGTCTTCCGAGATTCTTCTTTAAACGCCTACAGTCTACAAGCATTCGTCTTGTCATCCTGCCTAAGCCCAACTCCCCATCTGAACCGCTCATCCTCGCCCAGGAAATGGGTCTCGTTCTGAATGTGATGGGTATCGTTTCCCAGAAGTCTCCTCGTATCGACTTGATGCGAAGAGTCGCTGCCGCAGAACTAGTTATGTCCATCTCCAGATCTTCTAACCCTCCATCCTCATCCTCCTGCGAGGACTCTTCATTATCCAGTTTCCAACAGACACAGCGGCGCGTTGTTCCCATCCAGCGCGACTACTTTCACACCGAGTTCTGTCTTACGTTCCCTCGACCAGCTCAGCCGCTAGATCTGGGGTCACAGACCTCAGCTGGTGGCAGCCGGTCCAGCACCTCCACAACCGCGGAACTCTATCGTGTCTTTTTGGAGGCCTTTCTAATGGACGCCAATGGTCTCCGTTGGCGTTTGTGTGGCACCTCTTCCGAGGCCGGCGTTGGGGAGAGCATCCTCGTGCGTGTTGAGCCGCGTAGTAGTGCCCCATCGGCAGACTTTACGCAGCCGATATCCTCCCAGAACGCCGCCCTACTGAAATTTGAAGTTTCTGGAGATTCGAAGACCAAAGTCTCATTTACCACTTGATGCCTTTTTTCAATAACTTTACTGTGTTTATAGTGGTGATTTGAGCCCCCCCCCTCTTGTGTATTCTTAGCTGTACAGACACGTTATTACGATCTTCCGTGCATCTTTGATTTCTCTTGAATGCCCCCTGTTACAAGTTTAGCGTACTATATGCCGTACCGTCCGGGTAGCCTTACGTTTAACTAAAGACCGTTTGGGTTTTCACATTTACGCCTCGCGTCTGATATTTGATGTTTTCATTTGTCAGCCGTAGTGCGTCATTCGGCCGGCGATGTAGCTGCTAGAATTCAGAATGCTCTTGTGACATACGTCTGGCGAGAAACGTGTTGTTCTTGCCGGTAATCGTTCCCGAATTCCTCTCTTTGGAATAGATTATGTCATTACAGTCTTGTCCCTATTCAGCTTTGTATGCGGAGGGTGCCCCGGAGACTACATACGGGGACTTATAGCTTGGGAGATTCTGATTGTGATTCCGTCGTTCATCTTGAAGTCTCTTGAGGTTGTGCCTACCATAAAGCTGAAGTTAACCTTGTCGACGAGGTGACGAAAGTCAGCTCAGTGTACTCCGTTGTTTGCATCGGATAGTTCAGTATCACGACCTCCTCCACGATGAAATTTTGACGATTTTGCATCCCGACTCAAACGAATTCGGATTCCTTTGCCACTATTGACTGCGCATTAATCGGCGATCGGCCCTCAAAACCGCCTGCACCGTAAAGGCACTGGACCGAAATTTCGGTTAGATTGGCTTGCGATACGCGCTAATCAGGCTGCGGAGGGTCTGCACCAGCCCACAATTGCCGTGCATGGGGGGGGTGTGGTTGCACGCCTAATGGTGGGCAATCACGCTGCGCCCAAACTCAACACCAGGCGTTAGATATCCTCAGACAGTGGAATAGTGCACGGCGGAGGAAAAAGAAAGCGAGGTCGATACTAGAGAGTCCAACCCAAGGGCATATCGGTGAGTTTCCTGCTATAAAAAATTTGACGCGCCTAAAGCCATCGGAGCGCTCTAAAAGTTATGACTTGGAAGGCCGACACTTGACGGCGCAACTAGTCCGGTAACAATCGGGAGAGGGCATCCAAATATCCATTATCTAGAAATAATACTTGCTATACCTATTTGAGTAGGTTATGGTCCTACATATTTGTTGTTTCATCCAACCTCAATTTTATCTCATCTGCAGTGCACATGTTGCCTCACTTAGATTATCATAGTCTCCAACAGTTGAGATGCGACCGCTGCAGACCGAGCCATGGTTAATCAACCTAGGCTTACACGGCTGAAGAGTGGCGACAGTAGTGGGGTTGCGGCCAAATCTACCCTTGCATACCTTAGGAGAGTTGAGAAACGATCGCTGTATACCGACAACTGGTTTGCCATCCTTCACATATGCATGCTTAGGTCACGAGCGACGACAATAGTCGGAGAATAGTGGGAGAATGATCGCTTTAGACCCATCCTATGTTTACCAACCTTGACATTAGCTTCCACAGCTGAAGACCGAGCACAGTAGTCAATATGCGGCTTACTCTATGGTAGCATACGTGCAAACACGATACAATTGCTGCGGACCGACCCTTTGGCTTATCCATTATGACCTTTTCCTCCTTGGGTGAGGAATGACCGCAGTTGTAGGTATGGGGCTCAATCTGTGGCACCAAACACTGGACAATTGCGTAACGATCGCCGTAGACCCACCCTACGTTAAACAACCTTAATATAAGCTTCCACTGCTGACAAGCGACCACAGTAGTGCCTATGCGGATTATTCTATAGTGGCTTACATACGGATAATTGCAATACGATCGCCGTTGACCGAACACTTCGGTTATCAATTTTTACCATTACTTCCAGAGATCAAGGGGCCACCGCAGTCGCCAGTGTGCGGCTCAGTCAGTGGCTGCATAGCTTAGGACAGTTTCAATAAGATCGTTGCTTTGGCCGGCAGTATTTTTTTGGGTGCCCTCTCCCAATTGTTACCGTCAGTCCTTCTCAGGACTTTGAATCAGGCTGAAACGGTTCTTTGATGTGGCCTCTATGGCACTCACTCATGTAAGCTGAACCGCCCCCGTGAAAGCTTGGCATGTGTTCTGGGGACTAGGTCGTATGTGACGCTAGTGGGCTGGTCAGTCATTGAGTTCGAATCGGATCGCTGTCGTCCTGATGGTTTTGCTCCCGGTCCCAGGTAAGTGAGGAAGGAGAGAATGCAGTTGAGTTTGAGCAAGTCAGTCTCACTACAAGCTGATTTACACGCAGATCACCGTCTTTTGCCCGTTCCGTGTTCACAATGTTCCCATCGACTAGGTATTTGATGCCTGTTCCAGGCCAGTTATCTTGGCCACCGTATAATAACCCCGCAATGTATAAGAAACTAGATAGTTGACTTGAAACCGCAGCCTTGTCTGCGTTCGTCCTCCGACGCAAGTGCACTCGAAGCCGATCTGTCCGCAATTATGGAGGTCCGCACACTTTTGAGAAACTGCTCCACGAGGCTCGTGAACTATTGCCAATACAAGCGAAAATACGAGACTCGGGTAGCGGGTGAGGAGTAGACGCGATCGCTGACGATTCACCTGACGTTGTAGACAAAGCAACTACGTCGGAGAAGCTGAAAACTGGTCTGGAAGCGGAGGGCCGGACGAGCGATAGCAGTTCGAGGAAATAAAACCAGGTCCCATTCCAAGACTCAATAGACGGTACCCGGTCATATTTGAGTTCGACGAGGCCGCCGTCGATCTCCAGAATCATCCGTCCTGCCCCAACCCCTGCGTCAATCACAGCGAACAGTTCCGCCAACACCACGACCCCTCGCACTCCCTTACCGGTGTGACGACGTCCAACGTTCTGTCATCTACTGCCATGACCATCAACGCCCTGACCTTCAGCGATGTGGACTCGGTCCAAGTCTGCCCTCATTACGATCGCACGTACACCTCACACATCGGCCTGTTCGGTCACTTGTGAACCCATCTCACAGAGACTGACTATCCGGTGCCTGGGACACTCACTTTCACCGTACCCGCCTTCACTCTCCAGAATGCCCACGCATGCCCATTCACCACACGGACCTACACGGTCACATGCGTATCCACGACAGCAGAAATAACCACAATATCTCTATACCTAGCACACCTTGCACATCCACCATGCCTAGCGCAATCAGTTCCTCATGGCCCAGCGCGCCCACCACCAGCGGCTTTACCATCACCACTTAAACTGCCCTGACGCTCAGGACCTACCCTGCCCGTACTGTCCCCGCACATTCACCTCACGAATCGGCCTGGTCGGTCACCTACGAGTCCATCGCGTGGGGCCCGGCGAACCAATGCTTGGTGCACCGACGTACCTCAGATGCAGTCGCCTTAACCGCCCACATTCAGCATCCGCATGGGCCCACTAGGCCACATGGGCATTCATAAGAACCCGTGGTAGATCACCGTCGGCTATACCACACCATCACAAATTTCTCTACCAGCACTTGCACACAGTAACATCACTCATCAGCGCAAGACGCAAGCACACTCATGACACCGCTCACATAAGTGGGAAGTGTGCCTCGGCTCCTTCTCCATGTGGCTCCACTGCTGCATGTGTGATCCGGACCTGAGATGATCACGGCACGCCAAATGGCCACCTTTGGCCGCCTCATAGCCACCTCTCGACGCGGCGGCAAGGTGCGGTCAGCCGAGGCTCGTACTGGCAGGAGAGGAATTCGGTCCTTCTTCTCTAAAAAATCTCTTCTCTGCCGCATATGCAACAGTCCGTTCACGTTATTAATAATACCGAGAAATCGTTTAATTCTCCTCCTCAGAAATCCGATGAAGTGGTCCCTTTCACTTATTCCTCTCGCTCAACCCACATCTTAACGTCTTCGTCTGCATTTAAATCAGTGGTAGCCGCAGCAGTCGCTTCTAATTTTCTCGCAGGACAACCTATACTGTCAAAAATCCGCCTGAACCCTTTGGGCCGCCAGTTTTGAATCCGATTTCGAATTTCGCACCTCAGGGGAATTTACCCTGATCGGTATTTCAGTCTCCTGAATATACTTACGGCCTATGATTAGTAAAAATTGAATTCAAATCAGCAATATCCTTATCCTCACAAATATTCAGCAGAAAGAACGGATGTCTTTTGGCCGCTTTTCTGTCAGTATACCTACAAAACTCTCAAAATCTACAAGTGGCCAAGTCGCTCTACTATTTTATACAGTTTACTTGGCTGGAAACTCCATCAACCTTAAAAATATTCAGATGTTCCGAAATACTGGTGGGAGTCGAAAATATGCTCTTAGGGCATTGTGCAAAACGGCCGTCTCGACTGGAATCCGGACCTCAGCATCAATGTGACGCGATCACGGGGGCTGCTACTGCACAGTCAACTCGCGACAGTCAGGCTAAAACAAATGAGGGAGTAGGCGTTAAGCGTTAAAAAAACTACAAAAATTCTAGATATTTCGCCGTCGAATCACTCTCCGTAAGACGGGAAAGGAGTTAAATAAGTTTGTTTGATGTAAAATACGAAGTCGAAGCTTCTGCGGCATGCTGCAAGCTTCTTAAGAAGTTTTTGAATATGGAGGAGATAAATGGTCCAAAATGTTGACGGAGCAGTTGAGAAAACTCCCACACCATTTACCAAAAAACACGAAATCGGCGACACATGAACTCCAGAATAAAGGATTGGACCTACGCAAACATGGCTTTCTCAGCTGTATTAACCGATGGGAAAGAAAATGACTAGTCTGCGAAGCTCGATGTGACCAATAACCAGTTTCTTGTGCGAGAAAATGAGTACCGGAAGGGATATCAAAGAGCAAAGAAACGTCCAGAGCATCCCTGAAAGACAAAGCACGCCTGAGTTTGAGGGACGCAGTGCAAGCACACTGCAACCAAATTCCGCGGTATTCAGCACCGCAAGTGACCAAGAAGCGTGGGTAAACACGTAGCGGTACATTAACTGTATCACAGAAGACTCCTTGAATCAGAAGATGATGGCAGCC